AGCTTGGACTGAAATATTTCAGGTCCTGAGAGAAAACAACTTCCAACCAGATTGATGTACCCTGCAAAACTCTTCTTCAAATTTATGGAGAAATAAAATATTTCCATGATAAAGAACAACTGAAGAAATTCATGAGTGCCAAGTCAGTCCTACAAAGAGTACTAAAAGATATTCTAGAAAGAGATAGAAAAGACCACAGCTTCAAAAACAACAACAGAAGGGAACCACCAAACAGAGCAAACAATTAAACAGAGAGGAAAAGGAGGAACCAACAGCAGGAAAGTAACATGACAAAGGTAAGCCAATACATATCAGTTATAATCATCAATGGAAATGGTCTCAATTCATCAATCAAAAGAAGCAAACTGGCAGAGTGGATCAATAAACAAAATCCAAATATATACCGTATACAAGAAACACATTTAACTCAAAAGGAAATTCATAGATTGAAAATTGAAGGAAAACAATACTCCACATGAAAGGAACCTAGAAAAAAGCAAGTATAGCTATTCTGTCTGCAGATGTGGTGAACTTCAAACTGAGAATAATAAAAAGAGATGAAGAGGGTCACTACATACTTGTTAGGGGAAAACTTCAAGAGGAAAGGATAACAACCATAAACATCTACGCACCAAATGCAGGAGCACCCAAGTATATAAGACAAATTTGAACAGACATGAAAAATGAAATAAGCAGCAACACAATCATAACAGGGGACTTTAACACCCCATTGTCTCAAAGAGATAGGTCAACTAGACAAAACATAGGAAAGTAATAGCAGAACTTAACCAAACTTGTGAACAAATGGACTTAGCAGACCTTTACAGAGTGTACCATCCAACAGCATCAGAGTACACATTCTTCTCAGCTGCACATGGGACGTTCTCTAAAACAGGCCATACTCTAGCACATACAACATGCTTAAGTAAATGAAGAGGAATTGAAATTATCCCATACATACTATCAGACCATAGTACAATGAAACTGGAAATTAATGACAAAAGAAATCACAAAAACTCCATAAACACATGCAAATTAAATAACGCCCTCCTGAACAACCAAGGGGTCACAGACAAAATCAAAGCAGAAATTAAATAGTATTTATAATCAAACAAAAATGCACATACAACTTACAGGAACCTGTGGGATGCAGGGAAAGTAGTCCTCAGAGGGAAATTTATAGTGGTGAATTCCCACATCAGGAAAACAGAATAAGTACAAATAAATATTCTTATGCTGCACCTCAAGCTTCAAGAAAAAGAAAAGCAAATCAAACACAAGCCCAAGGAAGACAGGAAATTATAAATCCCAGGGTAGAAATTAATGCAATGGAGACTA